CTCTGGTGCAAATTACTGACCTCTGTCATCATTTTAGGTGGGGGAACTTGCACAATCGGTGGCTGACTAAATACTTTTTTGCCCCACTGTAAGTCGTCTTCAGGAATAGTTCTCCAGGCTTCTTGAAGGACCTTCAACGCTCTTCTTTTCAATGTTGGCTCTGTTCTGTTCTCTGTCAGGATGATCCCATCCTGCTTCAATAATGTTGAGGTCTGTGCTCTGGGGAGGCCAATCCATGACTGATAGTTTTCCACAGTGTGTGTGGTTTATTTTCCTTCCTATCCAGGTTTGCTTTTACATTGTCAGTGTGTTTGGGGTCATTGTCATGCTGAAAATTTTGATTCATCACTCAACTCAATTTTATTTATATAGTGCCAAATCACAACAATAGTCATCCTTAGACAGAACTAGGCTCAGGGAAGTCCAGATACTATTAGTCTATTGTTTCCTCAGATGTAGTGTAAGGACATACAGTGCATCATGCTGAGTTATGCCAAGTTTTTGGCTAATAGTTCTATTTTTTTTTTCTTTTCTTTTTTTTTTAACCCTTGTTCGTGCAAAAATACCATTTTAAACATGTCAAACTGTTATATTTGGTGATTTTTTTTGGAAGATTTTACTAAAGAGTAAATTATGTTGTAAATTAGTGCAAAAATGTACAAGTTTCACTGAACGAGTCCATTCTCACACCACACCAATGATTTTACTTGCCACAGATTTACAAGTTTAGACTCCCAAAACATCAAACCCAAATCAAATCATATGTCTGAGGAGCCCTGCAAAACCACATGTGGACTGTTCAAGGAAAGGTGTCCAAGCAAGTGTTCGAGGTTTTATTACATGTTCATAATGACATGACTTTTAGTATAATAAAATTAAAACATCTTTGACATGTATCCATGAATAAAGCAACACCGCAGTGGTTTAATAAAACTCAATGAGAATATTTTTCTGGGGGGCTCAGCAAAGGTTGTAAATTCAATAATTAATTGTTCAGTTATTTGACTTTGTGTGTAGTTTGGTGCCACCAAGTGGTGAGTTTTTTCAACAACATATTTGTTCCATTTTCAATGAGATCTTATCGCATTTATGTTTAACAACTCCCGCCATCCCTTCAATATTCTACATAGAGAAAATGTAATCAAAGGGAAGGTCTTAGATTTTTATATGGAAAATGTAACTAATCGCTTGGATTTCTCAACAGTGACATGTGACCTGCAGATGAAAAAAGTGGTGGAAAAACCATTTTAATCCAATGCAGCTCTCAGACTTAATGGTCCCAGTGTATTGATTGATATTGTATGTTTTTTCTAGGATATATATATTTTTTATATATATATAAAAAAATATATATAGAGGAATCTTTTTATATAGATTTTTTACACACACACACACACACACACACACACACACACACACACACACACACACACACACACACACACACACACACACACACACACACACACACACACACACACACACACACACACACGTATGTCCTGAGATGTCTAGGGCCATCTCAGGCCCATCTCTGGGTGATGTCCTTGAGGCCTGGAGTTGCCCACCCCTGCAGTAACTGCTGGTTGTTCAGTGAGAGGAGCCAAAAACGCATGTTTACAATCCATTTCACTTTTATAGGTCTGTAACAAAGTGAATCCATCTAAACACCACCTGTTTTTGTGTGACTGGACAACACCCCCATTGTTGGGGAAACTGACAAATAACCAGAACAAAGCCTGAAACAAAAGCTCACAACACTGAGTCACAATTTATTTTCTGAGCTTCAGAAAATGTTTTTTGACCTGCAATAAACACCTGCACTCACACATTTTTGGAGATAAAATATCTTAATTTCAGGAGCAGGCCCACACCTCTAAACATGCCCTTTCCGGTTCTTATACGATCCCTCCGTTGTACAAGCTGTTCTCTTTTGAAAAAGTCCAGCGCTGCCCCCTGCTGGATGATCCACAGCTGCCTCCAGGAGCTCTGATAGACTGAGCCAAACACCTGGGCAACTTGACCTTCAACATCTGGAACAACATGAAGGACATGGTCTCCTACACTCCTCTCATTCTGGACCCAAACACTGCTCATCCAGACCTTATCCTGTCTGAAGATCTGAACAGTGAGAGAAGGAGCGAGGCAGCGGCTTCCTGATAATCCAGAGAGGTTTGATTGGTTCTATTCTGTCATGAGCTCTGAGGGCTTTAACTCAGGGACTCACAGCTGGGATGTCGAGGTTGGAGACAGTACAAGCTGGATGCTTGGTGTGGTAGAAGAGTCTATCAAGAGGAAGGGAAACACAGAGTCTGGATTTTGGGGAGTAGTGGGCTGTTTAGGTAAATACTCAACACGCTCACCATCAGCTGGATTCACTGCTCTCTCAGTTCAGAAGAAGCTCCAGAGGATCACAAATCAAAAGGATCAATCAAACAGTAAACACAAATCCATAACGTCTCACCCAATTTCCCAAACATTGTATTGTTGGGTCAAAATGAAGCTCTAAACTCAAAACCATTCACTCTTGCTGAAAAACCAAACTTTGCCCACAGACATCACACACAAGGCCTCAAAAACACACACACTATAACATAGTCTTACACATTGGTGCAATAAATTAAAAACAATATTTCCAAAACTGGCAAGTTACGTTGTTTGTGGTTCTTCCCCTCTAAACCTTTTCACATAATGAACACAAAAGACGCAACCAATGTATCTACAGTGGCACATTTTTATTCATGTACCATACAGTACAACACACACCAAAAACATTATTCCACCTCAGCATCCTGTCTTTGGTCTGAGTCAGGCCAGAAAATCTCATCCACATCA